AAACCACTCCAGAGGTTTCTCAGCTTCCCCCAGAGCACTTCTGGCTGGCCTGTGTAAAACTGAAAATGGTCTGTTTTTTATGAAATATTATTTTAACTTAGAAGGTTAACAGTGACTAAAACATGAGAAAAAGAACAGAAATATCACTATCTCTTAGATTATTTGAAACTTTTCTTGCTTTACTGAAAAGATAGGCATTCTCTGCTTTGAACTGGAAAGACATCAACAAAATAATGCCCTCCTTGCCGGTTTCACTTCTCTGCCGTATTTATAGAGGAAGGACAGACATGTGAGATAAATGAAAAATTTTTGACTGCATCAAGACATTACTGTACTTAAACTTTTTTTGTACAATATACTTTAAGGAATACTCTGTTTTTGGCTCTATAGAGAATATATTTTCCTTACAACTGGAAAAAGCCATTGGATGTGCTTCACAGTACGTATTAAAACCTTTTTTGTTTAATTAATATTTGCAAATACTTAGTTAAAAATTATGATCAGATGAGTTGGGGCTGCTTTAAACTAAATCCATAATGGTGACACCAAGATTTGGTGGACATTAAAAGTCTACCCACCCCTGTTAATATGTATAACTTCTGTGGTGCACAAAATCCAGAACCTTTTTTCAAAGTAATAAAATACAATAAAACAATAGGAAAGCTTAATAATAAAAACTAGCAGAAGAATAAAAGATCTCTGTATAAGGCAACATGATAGAGCTAAATAAGCAAGAGAGAGCTTCAAATCTAATGTCAACTGCAATATATATATATAGAAATAGAAAATAAGTATATGATACCACTAGTGCCATAAAAAACAAAAACAAAAAAAAACAACAACCAATGGTTATGCAATTAAATAATCCAAGTGTGCATCATGTCACTAAAATAGAGCAACGTAGACATGAAATACATAACAGCACTGCCTATGGCAGTACATTGTCCTAGCTTATTTTGACTAAGTTATTTTGGTCATTAACATGAAAAAAAGGAAACTGGTAAGATATCAGCTCTTAAATTAAACTTTTATTTTGTATTATATTTATCAGAATGAACTGTTACAAATCTTTAGTTGTAGGGAAAATAAAATGACCAATAAAAGAGTAGACAAACAGGGTGATCCATGATATCTCTATCTGTATAAACACCACAGTTTGACATATTGGTACTGTCAAAGCTTCTTAGCTGTGATTTGAAAGGTTGTGGAGAAGAATGATCTTCTAATGCAATGTGTCTTGCATTGGATTTTTTTTTTTTTTTATGTCCCCACTGAAACAATCATTTTTTTAAAGAACCTTTTCCAATGTGATAAGCTGGTTGTCAAATATATTTGGCATGATTACGTGATGCATGTCTAACCTCTTACACCCTAAGGGGGTATAAATAAATTTCTGCCTGACAAAAACACACAAAAGTAAATAACTTATAGCCTCAAAGCTATTAGATTTAAGAAGAAACTTTTGGTACGTCTGTAAAGGTAAGATGTCATAGAATGGTTTTCTGGTGTCAGCACCATTGTAGCTTTGACCCTGCCTGAAATATTAGGGACAAAATATTTTGCATTTTTTGAACCTCGCCAAAATTTTCTTTGAAATAAACATTGCAAAACACTACCAAAATATTATTTATAGCACAAAAAAGTAGTACAGACTTTCAAATCTAAATGTTGTGTAAAAGTATACCAAATTTGGACTCAATCAGATGAATCATATTTATTTTAGAATGGTATTAGGGAGAAATTTCTTAGGCGGAGGGGCCATTTTGGCACATTTATCCATAAATGTCACCAAACTGTGCCAAATATGTTTTTTACATCAATACTGGGGGTTTGGTAAAATTACGAGGTCACGTAGCAGCTGGACCCGCCGGTGGGTCCGTAGGGTTCAAGGGGCTAAGAAGCTTAAGGACATTTCTCAGATTTTAAAACTGAATTTATTGAAATAAAAAATCTTATCTTAAAGTCCTCTCTTGCCTTGGCCCATTCAATCTTTCAGAGCTTTTTCACAATTTACTTCTACCTCCTTTTTTAGAGCTGTGGCTGAGGGAATCCTGGACTGAGATTAAGTGACCATGAATAAAGACATACTGATAAGACAAAGTTTTTAAGATTATGAAAATAAAGTTTTATTTTTAAAGTTGTTATATTTAGAGTGTCACGATAATGTTATAATACGATTGTAGTATTACAAAAAAAAGAGTTTAACATTAGATCAAAGTCCTGTTACCTGAACTAAGTTGTAACATATATATATATATATATATATATATATATATATATATATATATATATTTTGTTTGTTTTTTTTTCAGAAGAAGGACTATTTTGAAATTACCCCGGACAAAGCAAAAGACAAGGCAAGTTTATTTATAAAGCAAAATTCATTACAAGGACAATGTAAGGTGCTTTACATGAATTAAACAATAAAATAGAAAAAACAAATAAAAGCCGATTAGAAGCAAATAACAAAAAAAAAAAATATATATGATAAAAGTGTCATGGTTGGTTTAGGGATTAAACCCACATGCAGAACACCACTGGAGACTGATAAAAAGTTCAACAGAGTTTATTGAAAACTTTCACAAATAATAACATGGACTGGATTCAGGAAACTGGTCCGGGCAGGATTCTCTGGCGTCTGCAGAGACGGATAGTTTGATTAGCCAGTTTAACAGGTGATTTGTTGAGTTTCAGATGTTTCTGGAAATACCTTGAAGAGGTTCAGGCTTTCTCCTTTGAGAGAGGGAACCGGTTGGGTCCAGAGACTGTTGGTTCAGCAGAGTGCTCAGCAGCAGCAGCATCTAGCTTCTGCCTTTCCAGTGACAGACCTTGGTTTAGCTGATTAGCTCTTTCCCTGAGAGCAGCAGATGGATTCCAGAGTGAGATCTTCAGGTTTGGCTCTCTAGGGCAGGCAGGCAGGTAACAGGCTAAGCTCATCCAGAGCTTCAGACAAGAGACAGGTTTCCTGTGAGTGAGAAGACAGAGGCAGGTTAGAATTGGGTTTCTCTTGTGAGACAAAGATTCTAGTAATCACAGAGGCTCAGGTTTGCTAACCAAACTTGGTCAACACTGCAGCGTTGAAGGAAGGTCTGGCAGCTGCTTAAGTAGAGAAGGTCTCCTTGATGGGCTGACGAGATCCAGGTGTGCAGGAGGGCTCCAGCCCAGGAGACCCACGGCGCACTCTGCTGGAGAAAGGTGGTACTTCTCCAGATCCCAACAAAAAGCAGGTAGTTCAACCAATAAAACAGTTGGACCACAAACTTAAACAAATAATACCTCAGTTAACAGTTTAACCAAAGACAGTTCTGCTAAACAAATGGGTTTTATACTTGAACGAGCACAGGGTTTCAGCACTTTTATAGTCTTTCTGGGAGTTTGTCAGTGGAGCATAGGAACTAAATGCTGCTCCTCCATGTTGATTTATAAACTAGCAGAATTATTTTAAAATCTATTCTCTGAGCTACAGGGAGCCAGTGGGAGGACTTCAGAAGCGGGCTTTTACGTTCTACCGTCTTAGTTCTAGTGAGAACACGAGCAGCAGCGTTTTGGATCATCTCAAGCTGTCTAAAGGACTTTTTAGGCAAACCTATGAAGAAACTGTTGCAGTAATCAATTCTACTGAAAATCACCACATGAATGAGTTTTTCAAGATCCTGCTTGGAAATTAGTCCTTTAATCCTTGAGATGTTCTTCGGGTGATAAAACGTTGACCTGGTAAGTGCCTTTATGTGCATCTGAAGGGTCAGGTCTGAGATCATCATGACACCAAGATTTCAGCCATAATCAGTGGTTTCTAGCTGTAGTCGCTGAAGCTGTGATCTAACTCTGGATCTCTCCTTCTTTGGTCCAAAAAATACATTACCTGAGGTTTTCTTTATTCAGCATCCACACATTGGTCTGTTTTAAGCCTCTAAACAACACTCAGATGTGTTCATAGTCACCTGGTGATATTGGGATGAATAGCTGTGTGTTGTCTGCATAGTTATGGTAACTGATCTGGTTGTTTGCTATAATCTGAGCTAAATGGAGGATGTAAAAATTGAATAAGAGGGGTCCCAGAATGACATAAATGGATGGTTTCCTTTTGGGCTGTATTAATTTACTATTTTGTCTCACATCTTTGACAGCCAAAGTTTAGGTACTGAAAGTTATATTTCAAATCACTTATTCACTGATTCAATACTGTATTGTTTTTGCTTTAATATTTGTAGGTTCCTTATGTTTCTATTTTAAACCTGTATGACTTTTAAGTCGGACTCTGCAGCAGCAGATTTTGCCCCATAAAGTGACTTACACCTACAGGTGAGATTCGCACATGATCTGGATCATTACCAGATGTTCTGCTCTCACCATTTTTATTCACTATGCGCTCTTTCTTATTTAATCAATAGATTGAGACTTAGAGCAAGACATGGCTCAACTTTCCTGTATGTCTCTCTTCAGTATAATCCTTCTGGACTTTTTTGAGTTTGATCCTGAAGCTGTCAATAGTCACTGCTGCTACTCTTTGGTTTAGAGGGAAACAAATTATACAGCCAAACAATGTTCAAGAATAAAAAAAAGATTTTTAAAAAAATCCTGCATCCAGATCATGATGTGGATCACCACAAAATTTGTTATTGATTGTTGTTTGGACTAAGGTGCATCCTTGGTAAAAATGTTAAAATGTGTACATAGACAAGCTCACAAACTTCTACAAAAATAACCTAAACAGTGAAAAATAAAATAAACCTAAAATGACCAATCTGTCTAATTGATTGGCATTGAATTGCCGCTTTATAGATACATTTAATTGAAATAAACAGGTTTAGAATGACCGTACTCACACACATCCCCACACAAACAAAAGCTTTAAAAATATCTAGCATTGCTTTACTCTGAATTAATCAGAGGTGTTTAGAGCTTTATATCAGAAGCATAAGAAAAATGTAAATGATCTGCTTTTGTTTAATATGCTTTTTTTTTTCTTTTTTCTATTTACTTTTCAGGATAATCTGCTCCTGAATGTTCTTACCACAGCTAAAATGGGATTTGAAGATAACAAATCAAAACAAAAAGGAGTGTTAAACTGTTCCGATCCTTGCATTACTTTTCTCCTACTTTACATTACCTGTGTTTCTGCTCCTGTCGGCGGATTTTTCCTGGAGAGTTGCCACCTGAGCCATAACGCAGCCATTTGTAGCGACAGACATCTTAAACTTGTTCCTAAAGACATTCCACCTACAGTGATAAGTTTTGATTTATCTAAAAACCAAATCTCAAGAATTCAAGCTGGTACTTTCACAAATCTACTGGTTCTGAAAGATTTGAATCTTCATCAAAACCAAATTTTAAAGATTGACAATGGAAGTTTCTCCAATTTGATCTCCCTTCAGAAGCTGACTCTAAACAACAATAGACTTGTTAAACTAGGGCAAGGGACTTTTGATGGGTTGAGCAACCTCCTAGAGTTACGACTTAATACTAATAATATTGCTGCAGTGTCATCCACCGCTTTCCAGTCCTTGATAAGGTTAAAACTTTTGGATATTTCTCAGAACCACCTTGGAACAATGAAAAATCTTTATATGATGCTGCAGCATATGCCACAGCTGCAACAGTTTACAGTAAGACGAAATAAATTGAAACATTTTTATTCATGGGAATTTACAAACCGCTCACTTGATCTACAGGTCCTTGATTTGTCTAATAATCCAATTAGGGACTTCAGAATTACCAATAATATCTTTCCAAACTTGACTGGCCTTTCCATTGGAGACCCTTTCAGTGTCATAAAAATGGAATGGGACGTGAAAAACAAGACCTTCCTAAGACAAATGTCCAGCATGGATATCAGTGGGCTTCATACAACTCTTCAAGTCATGGAAGAATTGCTTGAAACAGTGAACACATCGCTAACATCTCTGGCAGCGAATGGAATAAAACACAATCGGACCAAATTAATCAACCTTGCTTGCTCCATTCCAACGTTGTCCAAATTTCAGTTTCGCAGAGGCAATCTTAGAATCATCACTTCAGACTTTTTGAAACCATGTGTTCACGTAACTGAATTAGATTTATCCGAGAATCATATCAAAACTATCAACGAGAATGCCTTCAAATCTATGGAAAAATTAACTGTATTGAGGCTGAGTCAGAATAAACTTTCAGTGGTTCCTTCTGCCATACAGACGCTGCAGAATCTGTCCGAGCTTGACCTCAGCAACAACTTAATCGGCACCGTTAATTGTCATGATTTCTCCAATCAGACAAAGCTTAAGGAACTAAACCTGAAGAATAATTCAATAACCCTAAAGGACTGCGTTTTCAAAGACTTGGTACGACTCCAGGTTCTGAGATTACAGTCGAATCAAATTACAGATTTAAAAGGAGCTTTTAAGAGCTCTCTGTCCAATCTGAAATGGCTGCATTTGAATGGAAATAAACTAAAAGCTATTCGAAATGGGGAATTTAATGGACTGAAATCTCTGTTGAATCTGTCACTGCATCAAAATCAAATAGAGACCCTTGATAAATACTCTTTCGTTGGATTGATTAAACTCACTGATATTCAGCTTCAATCAAATGCTCTGAAAAAAATCACCTTTAATCTTCTTGCTAACCTGAGACGATTGGATTTAAGTGATAATCGCATCCAATATCCTGAAAATGCAACTCTAACAGAATTACCATTTTCTAACCTTTCCTATTTGGAAGAGTTGTCTATTAATGCCCAGCACCACAGGGGGAAGTCTACTCTACCTTCCAATTTCCTCCAAGGGTTGAAAAATCTTTTACGTTTTAGCGCTAGGAATTGTCAGCTTATCTATCTTGACAAAGACACATTTACATATACACCTAAACTGGAAAGACTTGATATAAGCTCAAATGATTTGCAGACTCTGTCTCCAGAACATTTTGCCCCAATTCGAAATCTTAAAAGTCTCTACATATCCAGGATTGCTCTTCAGTCGTTGGATTTCCTGAGAGATGCCAAGCTGACAAAGCTGAAGTTCCTGCAGGGAAGACACAATCAATACTCAGTCATCACTGAGGATGTAATCAAGTCGCTTCCATCTCTCATGTATTTAGACTTAAAATACATCAGTTTCTATTGTGCCTGCGACAATGCCTGGTTCATAAACTGGACAAGAAACAGTAAACAAACACTGGTTAATGGTGCATATAACTATTCATGCAACTATCCAGATAATTTCAAAGGCAAAAAGCTTTTGGACCTAGACTTGAAGCCTTGTTTATATGATGTCAACTTCATCAGCTTTGTGTCCACCTCATGTATCATTTGCTTTGTCATGGTTGGATCCTTCGCTTACCATTTAATGAGGTTGCAGCTGTACTGTGCATACTACTTGTTACTTTCTTGGCTCTTTGACTCAAAGTATAAAAATAACCAAGCTCCTCACCAATATGATGCCTTTATATCCTACAACTACCACGATGAGCCCTGGGTGATGGGTGAACTGCTACCAAAACTTGAAGGAGAGCAAGGCTGGAGGTTATGTCTGCACCATCGAGATTTTCAACCAGGTAAGACCTCTTATACTCAACGTGTAGTTATGGTGTTTGTGGTTCAACTGTAAAACACCTTGAAGTTTTCTTGTAAAGTTGAAAAACATTTTACAGAAACTCAGAAAAAGTTTTTCCAATCACCACTTTAGATCTTATTGCATAAAACAGCAGCAAAGTTATTTTATTAGCATCTTTATTCAAGTCAGGAGACTTGACCAAAAGCACTTCACACTACAGTCATTCACTCATTCACGCACACACTGATGGTGGCAAGCTACATTGTAGCAACAGCTGCCCTGGGGCTCACTGACAGAAGCGGGGCTGCCATACACTGGCGCCACTGGGCCCTCTGACCACCATCAGTAGACAATCCAGGTGAAGTGTCTTGCCCAAGGACAAAACGACAATGACAGTCGTCAATCCTTCGATTTCAGGGCAAACTCCTATATCCAACGCCACTGTCGCCCCGGCTAATTCAGTATAGGCAGCATCTATCGAGCCATTCTAGTCTGGCTCTTGGGCTTCTCTTCTGATTTTTTTTACTCCTCTGTCAGACATCTTTGGCTGCGGATTAAGCCCCCAAAATCGGGGGTAAAATTTATATTTTGTTTTAGGTGTCTGTCTTTAAAGAATATATTTAGTAGAGATTCAATGTGAAAAAACAAATGTGTGCCCACATTAAAGTGGCATTAGTGGCATTAAAGCATTTCAGCTCGAATGCAGTCAATGTTGTGAAGACAGCTGTACTACAGATGGTGCTACTACACTGCTCCTGTCAATAAAGACCAATTATTTCTGCATGAATTTTCTAGGACGTTCAATCTTAGATAACATCACAGATGCCATTTATGGAAGCCGGAAGACCATCTGTGTCATCAGTCGCAGATACCTGGAGAGCGAGTGGTGCTCCACAGAGATCCAAGCAGCCAGGTATTGAAGTTAAACTTGTATTCTTATTACCTTTATAGGTATTGCAGCTTGGCTCAGTCTCCATTTTTGTGGGATGTATATTAGAATTTTAAAATAACAGTAGAACACAATGTAGATTTGTTGTTCTTATTTCTGCTTTTTTCATTATTCATTGAGTGGATCTTTCTAGGCTATTAGTATACCAGACATATAGCACTTAATGTATTTAATGTCCTTCATTCACTCCTGCTTTTCTGCTACAGCTACCGTCTCTTTGACAAGAAAAAGGATGTACTGATCCTGGTGTTTCTTGAAGACATTCCCACATACATGCTGTCTCCTTTCCACCGCATGAGGAAGCTACTGAAGAGGCAAACCTACCTGAGCTGGCCGAGAGCAGCAGGACAGCCAGGAGTGTTCTGGGAGAAGCTGAGAAAGGCTTTGCAGACTGGAAATGATCCGAGCGAGGAAAATGTCCTGCTGACCCTCACAGGGACGTAGGGATGAGACGGAAAATTCCGTTCCTCCAGAGAAATACTGTCTAGTTTTTCAGTAAATTATTAGGCAAAGAAAAAAAATGAAACTAAAGTACATTTAGCAAGTATTTTTACCACATTTTTGTTAACTTAGAAGTGTTAAACCAAAGAAAACAATAACATTTACAAAATTAAAAGCTTATTGTTAAGGTTTAACTATTTGGTATGAGTTCGGTATTATTATACTCTGATGTGAGTCTGTCACTCTGTACTTCACTACCTCACTATGCCCAATAACACAGTCAAGAGCAACAATTTTAATTTGGTACTGAGCAGTACTGTAAACTGTAAATATTGTCAATTGTATATAATGTGATCCTTATCTTATTCTTATACTTATCTCATTTTATCCTAATATCTTATTTTACATTGTTTATATGGGAAGGGTGTAATTTGACTTTATGAGTTTTAATTTGACTAATTTTACTTTTTTTATTCTGTCTTATTATACTATATTTTGTTTTGCTGTATCACAATCTTATTTTTCTCTCTTCTGTAAACGGTTGCACTGCAAGAAAAAATTTCCTGCAAAGCAATAATGTAGTAATTCTCATTCTGATGTAAGGCAGATGTTTGGTCATATATTTTATATTTTAATGGAAAGCTGTTTTGTTATGAACATCCCATTTATTGGACAAAAATAATTAGAAAAGAGTAAAACAAAAATAAGATGTGTTTCTATTCTCCCAAGTTCTCACATTCGGTGATGGGAGGGGCCAATAGTTTTATACTAACAAAAAGTAAATTGGGGAAATAAAAAATGGAAGAAAGAACAGAAAGCAGGAAAGGAGGATAATAAGATTAAGATTTGGACACAAAGGACTACATAGTTCACTTTTTAAGATGCAAAAACATATTACAGGAAAATGTGATTGTTGTAAGGGAAATGAAACAATAGAAGATGTTATATTAGAAGATCAAAAGTATCAAATAGAAATAGAATACAAGAGGAAAGAATTTGACAAAATTAAGCACTTTTAAAATAATAGATATGTCACAAAAAATGTAGTAAGCAGGCAGATACAAATAATTTTAAGATTTTTAAAAAGGACCAAATTGTTTAATAGAATTTGATTATGTAATAATTAAAACATTAATACATCACTTGACACACTCAAAACCAGTTGGTAGTAATGCACAATTAAAGCTTTTTGCCCACCACCAAAAAACCACTTTACTTTTGACACCATTTTATTTTAAAAATCAAGCGATATAAACACCTATTTCTGTAAAACAAGAATGACATGAGGAGTCTTATATTGTAGTACTCCATCATCTGACACAGTACATCAAATTTGGTTAAAACCCCACAACAGCATAAAAACATCTGTGTGGCTCTGTGGAAGTGAAACTAAAGCCTCCTTCCGGCTTTAACGTTGCACATACACAGAGCCACAGCATCAAGCTGAGGTCCTTCCTGTAGTCTGTCTCTACCCTCTTTGCGTTGCTGATTTAAAAAAAAAATTAAAGTCAGGGCTTTGGCTTATTCCTTTAGCATTGGGAAACTCCTCCAATAGATAGAGAATTTGTAAAAAACTGTTCCAAAAAGACTAAAAATAATTATTTAAAGGCTCAAAAAGGTCTTCAGGTCTTGTGCATTCCCTTAAAATATGAAATACATTTTCAAACAGACCGGAGAAAGGACACTCACTTGTAAAATACCACGATTGATAATAGATAAAAACAAGTTTGTGTCCATAGAATCATGTAAGGTCCTCCACAGGAGATAACCAATTCATTATTTAATTGGAAGCTTGTATAAAGTCCTCCATTGGGAATTTTTTTCCCACAAGTGTTTCTGTCCGGATGCAGACTGCCTGGTTATAGAGCTGTCTTTGAATAGTGACTTTTGTGCAACTGTGCTAAAGGGCTTTGCGGTCCATATTTAAAAGAACCACTTTCTGTGGGTCCAGGCTGGACAGTAGAGGTCCACTTTGCAAGGGGAAGCGAGGACCCTGGATCAGGCCAGGAAAGCGGTCTGTTGGATCCCGTTGGTTCTGACCCTGACAGTACATACGAAGGAGGCTCCTCTCCTTGACCAAGAACATGTCCCCAAAAAGGTCCAGGAAGCACCATGCCATCCTCGCACACGGTACCCCTATCCCTGAACCCGTGTCCTCCAATGTTAGAGAGGGACGGTCCTGCAGTCTCCACCAGCTGTCTCATTGTGGTCATCTTGGAATGGTGCAGCGCCTTGACATCCCTGGTCCCTCACAACCACACACATCCAACCTTGACCCAGAGATTAAAGGCTATTTTAAAAGCCAGTGAGTTAGACCTTTGCAATGATCTTAAAAAAATATGGCACATGATTTAATAAATCCCTGATAAAACTTGGGCAATCCCTTTAACTTTAAAAGATTTATTTATATCTGTTAAAAACAAAGCAAAGTGCAGCCCCAGGTTGCTTGCATGTCTAAAAATACAGCTGAACACATCCTGCCAGGGGGCCCTACCAGGTATTTCTGAATAAAGCCTTATCTAAAAGCTGCTGTTCTTCTGGCTAAGTGGACAAGACCCTGGCCCCTCTCTTCTTAGGGTAAAATGTGACCTCAGGGAATGCTGGTGCTGCTGTAAATAGAACAGAAGTAATGTAATCTCTGATCCCTGTATCAGGGAATATGGAGGTGTGGAGTTAAATTACTCCATTGCAAGTTTAGTAACTTTTCAGTTTTATCTTTGTGACATCATAGATGGCAGGGCGGATCCTTTGCCCTGGCGGTGATATGACATCTACATATGCCATTACGAATGTGGAGCTCCATATGGGGGGCAGTGGTTCCCCAGGCGGAGCTATGTGGGTTGCAACATTAGGTCAGAGGGGTACACGACATCACAATCTGGCCAGTTGAGACAGATGCAAGAACAGAATATACACTCACCGGCCACTTTATTAGGTACCCCATGCTAGTAACGGGTTGGACCCCCTTTTGCCTTCAGAACTGCCTCAATTCTTCGTTGCATAGATTCAACAAGGTGCTGGAACCATTCCTCAGGGAGTTTGGTCCATATTGACATGATGGCATCACACAGTTGCCGCAGATTTGTCGGCTGCACATCCATGATGCGAATCTCCCGTTCAACCACATCCCAAAGATAGTCTATTGGATTGATATCTGGTGACTGTGGAGGCCATTTGAGTACAGTGAACTCATTGTCATGTTCAAGAAACCAGTCTGAGAGGATTCCAGCTTTATGACAGGGCGCATTATCCTGCTGAAAGTAGCCATCAGAAGTTGGGTACATTGTGGTCATAAAGGGATGGACATGGTCAGCAACAATACTCAGGTAGGCTGTGGCGTTGCAACGATGCTCAATTGGTACCAAGGGGCCCAAAGAGTGCCAAGAAAATATTCCCCACACCATGACACCACCACCACCAGCCTGAACCGTTGATACAAGGCAGGATGGATCCATGCTTTCATGTTGTAGACGCCAAATTCTGACCCTACCATCCGAATGTCGCAGCAGAAATCGAGACTCATCAGACCAGGCAACGTTTTTCCAATCTTCTATTGTCCAATTTCGATGAGCTTGTGCAAATTGTAGCCTCAGTTTCCTGTTCTTAGCTGAAAGGAGTGGCACCCGGTGTGGTCTTCTGCTGCTGTAGCCCATCTGCCTCAAAGTTTGATGTACTGTGCGTTCAGAGATGCTCTTCTGCCCACCTCGGTTGTAATGGGTGGTTATTTGAGTCACTGTTGCCCTTCTATCAGCTCGAACCAGTCTGGCCATTCTCCTCTGACCTCTGGCGTCAACAAGGCATTTCCACCCACAGAACTGCCGCTCACTGGATGTTTTTTCTTTTTCGGACCATTCTCTGTAAACCCTAGAGATGGTTGTGCGTGAAAATCCCAGTAGATCAGCAGTTTCTGAAATACTCAGACCAGCCCTTCTGGCACCAACAATCATGCCACGTTCAAAGTCACTCAAATCACCTTTCTTCCCCATACTGATGCTCGGTTTGAACTGCAGGAGATTGTCCTGACCATGTCTACATGCCTAAATATACTGAGTTGCCGCCATGTGATTGGCTGCATAGAAATTAAGTGTTAACGAGCAGTTGGAAAGGTGTACCTAATAAAGTGGCCGGTGAGTTTAGGATGACTATGGGGTAAGCTAATCGTGCCTTTAGTCTGTGACTCATGGTGAAAAACCTTCATGAAAAACTATATTATTGTGGAAAAAAATTATCTTGACAAATGTCAAAAAAGAGGGAATAGAGGGTTTTATTTTATTTTGGGTGTCTATGTCTCCAGGGTTGATCTGAAAGGTCTCATAAAGTCTAACTTATTAGAACCTCCACGGCTTAAGTAATCTGGTGCACAGCCAAAACAGGTGGGCCAAGTTCCAGCATATGATGTTTTCACATTTTCACTTCCAAAAAAGCTATAAATAGAGATGGGTTTCTCCCAGGTTAACACCTGGCTGGATTCAGTGCAGGATGAGGCCTGCAAGGCTAAGAAAAGGGAGTTGAATTCTTTGTACACAAACTAGACCCAACTTAATTCTTGCAGAGTCTGCTTTTGACTACACCACAAACTGATCCAGTTTGGTGTCAAATACTAATGACATTTACTGTTTGCTTCAAGGTATATCACAGGATTATTTGGAATTGAATTGTGCAGGAGTGGGATTTATCTGTTGACACCTCAACATACTACATCTCTTGTTTTTCAGCCTTCCTTGTTAACTAAAGTAATCTTTTTCAATAATGGTAACAATGCCGGTGGTCATTTCAATGTATTCCCTCTAAATACTGTGTTCAAACTTATGATCTCAAATGGACAGCTGTAGCAAAAGTTTCTAAAACAAAATTATAATAATGACAAAGATATTTTGAATAAACAAGTAAAAACCTGCATAAATTGTTCCTACTTTTTTTCCTTTTAGATCTTAAAGGGCCTAAATATTCGCTCAGCTCCCACTTCAAGATATTTTAGTTGATTAAGAACATGCCTTATAGTGCTGAAGCATGTTTATGTTCATGATAAATCTTCTTTAAGCTCCAGTATTACCGGTGGAGTACCACAGGGATCAGTGCTAGGTCCAGTTCTCCTTACTATATACAGTATATTCTTCCAAGCTTCCAATAGATAGAATTATCAGACAGCTAGAGATTCATGTTCATTGTTATGCTGATGACACTCAGCTTATCCATAAAACCTGATGAAATTAACTTTTTACATGGGCTACAGGCATGTCTAAAGAACTTCTGAGAGATCTGAATAAGCTCAAATTTTCTGCTTATGAATTCAAACAAGACATAAGTTATTATCTTTGGACCAGAATCTTTGAAATTGTGCTGATTAGTAAGTAATTTCATTTGGATGGGATTAAATTGGTCGATACCTTTAGATATACTTGGTTTTATTTTTTAACCAGGGCTTGTCATTTAAATCTCATATTAAAATGCTTCTTGAATTTCAATCTTTTAAATGTGTAATAACTTGTCATAGTGTGATTCTGAAAACCTAGTCCATTAATTTGCTCTTAAAGGCTGGACCATTGTGACTCATTACTATCAGGAAGCCCATAGATAGGTCTGTAGGCATAACTGATCCCCATCTTATATCAAAGGATTGGTTGTACATTTTGTTCCTAACTGTGCACTTAACTTTCAATCTGCAAAGTTTAATAATGGTTCCTAGAATTTCTTGAAGTATAAA